TATCTCTTTAAGAGATCTCTACCAGAAACCCTCAAGCGTGAGAAAATATAAAAATAATAATGCGGTGCGGTGTAGGTTCAAATTACAAACATCAATTATAATATAAATATACACATATACAAACATACATACATTCGTGCACAGTTACATATGTACATACATATTTACATAGATACTTACATACATACATATTACATATTGACGCAATGAAACTCAAAATAATGATTTTTAGAAGTTTTGTCTGTTAGTCTATGCACTTGGGCGCGTTAATCTCAGAAACGGCTAAACCGATTTGAGTGCGGTTTTCACTAATGTATTATAGTTACTTTCACTTCACATTCGTTTCATAAATAGAAAAGTTATGTTATTAAACGATCATCTAGACATGAATCCGAGCGAAGGGAGGATGAGTCGATAGGATTCGAATAAAAATTAAATATTCATAGATATTCTAGAACTTTAAAGCCTAATCTATCGATTCGACCAAATATTTCAGTTGAACACTTGCCACTTAGCCGTGCAAACAGCTTCCAACCTAAACCTACACTCAGAACAAGGTCAAGATGAAATATTTGCTCTCCAAAACCGTTGAGAGAGATCCCTTAATTAACATACGAGCTCAAAGGTAGAACACCTGTTAGGTTATGTTGTGGTGAGCCTGACAATGCGTTCGTTTAATTAAATTATACGGAAAAGGTTCACATATATGACATAATATAACATACGTTTTGAATTAAAATGGGTATAGTAGGTTATCCTTAAGAGATAGACATATGCCATCGCGGACTTTTCTGTAGACCTATATAAGATACACAATTCCACTATACATTATTTTGTTATATCTCAAAGGGTTTAGGCAGCGTTTTCGTTGAAAGCTCCCAGACGTCTTATTTTTTCCGACACCGCCAACAAATATCGTAATATTTTAGCCAATGTGTACAAAAACTTAACAAATTATATACTAAAACCTTCCTCTTGAATCACTCTATCTATTAAAAAAACCGCATCAAAATCCGTTGCGTAGTTTTAAAGATTTAAGCATACATAGGGATATAGGGACAGAGAAAGCGACTTTGATTTATACTATGTAGTGATGATATGCAGTAAAATCGTTGTAATGATAAAATACTAGCGGGTGTCATCGCTTCGCTCGGATTCGTCCCTAGATAGGTTTTAACGGTTAGTATAGATTATATAGACTATATATGTATATGATAAATATAAAGGTATGATAAGTTGTTGTGGGTTGTATTATAACGTGTTTTCCCGTGGGAAAGAGATATTCTCCCGCGGTAAAAAGTAGCCTATGTCACTCTCCAGCCCTCCAAGTATCTCCACACAAGAAATCACTCCAATCCGTTACTTTGTTTCGACATGAAAGAAGGACGAACAAACATACTTTCACATTTCTAATATAAGTATGGATTTAAGAAAGTACAATTAGTTATGAAATTCTAACTTAAATTTTTCTATTTAACTATTTAAGGTCTTACGAGTTTTCTTTCTTTCTCTCTTTCGCTCTATATCTCACTCTGTCTCTCCCTCTCTTTACTTTTATTTATCTTTACTTCTTACTCAGTCTCAGGTTTTAAGACCATATACCTTTGTGTAAAAGTTTATATAGTTACTTGCATTGCCCGCGGCTCCGCCCGCGTACAGATGATCATAAACCAAATTCTTAGGCTTTACATATTAGTATACTCTTACATTACAGTTGTTGTATTTTTTCTCAGAAATTAGACATTTTTCCGCGGTAAAAAGTATCCTTTATGTTGACCCCGATATCCAGCTATCACCATACTAAATTTCATCAAAAACCCTCCAGTGGTTTTTCTGTGATGCGGTAACAGACAGACAGACAGACAAAAATTCTAAAAACTATAGATTTGGCCTCTGTATCGATAAGAATGTTTATTTCAATAAGATTTTCCAAATAACATTTAATGTACAGATTTGACTTAGTTACAATTTTATTATATGTATAGATTACAATATTTAACTGTTTACAGCTAGCTATTTTCATCTATTTTAGTAGAATAAAGTGCTTTAATTAAATATGAAAGCAAACAGTTGAATTCGCTAAACCTACAAACGCGAAATTTAGAGAGAATATTCTTGGGTTTGCTAATAGTACATTCGCACGCGATTTTAGGATGCCAGCGATGCTAACAAAATAAGGAAGAGGAACTTGAGAATTTTTTGCTTTGGAAATTTTTTCGAGTTTATATTTTATGATATTCCTTGCAATAATATATACTGGAATATGATAAACATCTATTTTACATAACAAAAATACTTAGTACTCTTATGCCCGATTACTACCATATATATAGCTACCAACTACGTATGGGATTCCTAGCTTTAAAGTCCCCTAAACTAGCCCCTAAATTAATTTTCGTTTTACCATCGTCTTTAAGCCCATATTTCGAGCACCTAAATTTAGGGGGCCTTTTAATATTTAGGTGACCTCTAACTGTCGGTGAAACAGAAACTGTCCCCTAACAGCCCCCTAACCTTGCTTAGGGGATCCCTTAAACTTAGCTGACGTTGGTGAAATCAGGCATTAGAGTCCAAATAAAGCCTAGGAATGAATACTATGACTTCCTGCAGTTACCTCAAAGTTTATTTTACAAAAAACATTCTCTCAATTAACTTACGCGTAAATATGCTAATGCCTTTTGCGACTTGATATAAAGATATAGATTTTTCTTTAATTATAATATAAACTAGCGACGAACCTTCGCTCCGCTCGGGATTTTCCCTAGTTACGTTTTAATGTTTAGTATAGATTTCTCAGAGATGAGATATTTTTCCACAGTAAAAAGTCCTATATATACCCGGCGAATTGTCTATCATCATACCAAATTTCATCAAAACCTGTCCAGTGGTTTTTTCGTAATGCGAAAAATATAATAATATAAAAACTATAAATTGGGCCGCGTTATCGCAAAATATAAAAGCTCGATGGATACTACAATACGATCGATAAGAGTTAAGGTGCAGGACTGATAGCTTTATGTGCTCTCCAAAGCACGAGGTTATCAGAAAATTGCTTTACAGAAAAACTCATTGGCTAAACTTTGTCTGATCCGGGACTCCAACCCAGGACCTCCGGATCTGCGGCCGTACAGCCACTATACCACTGAGATATTATTTACAATACTAGTATATAAGTACATATATAAATATAATTAACAAATACCTACGTAGCTATATCACAATATCAGCTTAAAGCCCACGTATTGCAATTTGAATTACATTAAACTTCATGTTCGCAAGGAACATGAACACGCGCTAAGCCGAAGACGGAACATGTTATCTACCTCATATAATCCCCGTTGATCAGGAACAAGATAAATTAATTTAGTATCGACCTCAACAAACATTAACTACTATTACGTATAATCTAAATTCAATGGAGTTATGTTTGAATGATATTCGACATGATCTGGAAACCCATTCATAAACACATTCGTGTTCATAATAGAAGCAACATTTAGCAAAAAAAATCTTTTTTTTTTATCTAATACGACAATTTTAATATCACTTTAAAATGTATTATTGCACTATAAAGCATTTTGACGACACGTTTGGCTCAGTTTGTAGTGACCTTACTTGCTGTGCCAGCGGTCGCGAGTTCGAGTCTCGCTGGGGGCATTCGTTTGTGTGATAAGCACGAATGTTTGTACTCCAGTCATGGGTGTTTATAATATGTATGTATTTAAAGTTATATATGTGTAGTGTATCAACTATCTGGTATCCATAAGTCTCGTAGCTTACCATGGAACTAGATGGTGCTGTGTGTTAATGTCCCAACATATTATTTATTTATAAAGACTGACTTTTTTTCTTGAAACTTATGTGAAAATTCAGAATATCTCAAAAGTGATTAGGTTAGCCTCTTAAAATGTACTAAAAAAAATACCTATAACACCCCTTTTTGTAGTCGGTTATAAAATGGGTGGACTTCAATTGAACATAGAGTAATATCCGGTAGAGAAATATCCGGTAGAGAAATATCCGGTTGAATACAAACCAATTAATCAACAAGTGATCCGCTGCGTCTGATAGATAGATAGATGTTAACGTTTCGATAGCGAATTTGGAAATGTACGATTTTATTGATGAAATTAACATAATGGACGACCATTGGCTTTTCATTTATGATGGGCACGAACTACTGTGACGGAGGATACGGATTCGATTCAATACTTGTGTTGAGGAAAGATTTTTTGTTTATTTGCTTGTACCGAATAAGCTCCGAAACGACTGAACTGATTTACATGAAATTTGGTAAAAATATAGTTTAAGACCGTGGATAGGACATATGATAGTTTTTATCCTGGAAATCGGCCTTAAAGCGGTGAAAATGGGGATGAAAGTTTGTATGGGGAAGCAACCTACGAGACAAACCTGAGCGAAATGAGGATGAGTCGCTAATGATAGGTACATACATATGTTTATTTTGATCTCTTTGAGTGATTATATATATGTACTACCATTGCCCGCGGTTCCTCCCGCGTTCGGATGACCAAAAACCAAATTTTTAGGTTTTATATATTAATATACTCTTACATTGCAGTTTTTGCATTTTTTCTCAGAAATAAGATATTTTCCCGCGGTAAAAAGTATCCTATATGTGAATATCCCTTATAAATCCAACATATTGACCGAATAACCAGCTATCATCGTACAAAATTTCATCAAAATCTGTCCAGTGGTTTTCTTGTGATGCAGTCACAGACGGACAGACAAAAATTCTAAAAACTATAGATTCGGCCTCTGTATCGATAATAATGACTATTTTCCAAAAAATATTTAATGTACAGATTCGACTCAGTTATAATTATATTATAATGTGTATAGATGTTAATTGAATAACAAATTAAAAGTAAAAAATATATAACCGATTTCAAAACCACTTCCTATTCAAAATTCTGTTAAAAATTTATAAAATTTGTATTATTGTTTCTGACATTTAAGTTTATATTTATCAACAGGGATATGCATGTAGAAGTGTGCGGTGGAAAACGAGGACTGTGCGATTCCATGCGACCAGCTAGCGGGGCGGAGCTGCTTCGCTTTTTGAGAAAAGTCCGATTCACTGGTAAGATTTTGGTTATTTACTTTGAAAACTCATATAATAATATGAAGTACAAAGAAAGAAACCAACTCTCTCTCTCTCTCATATTCTCACGCTCACTCTCTTAATCACTGCCGATGCCGACAGACACACACAAACACACACTAATATGTAGTGTGTGAGTTTATATGTACTCGTACATATGAGTATGCTGTGAAAACCTTTGTGTCTTAATTGCAAGAGTTAACTTTATCAATAACCGTAACAATTATCTAAGTCTAAGCTTTCGATACCTCTAAAGAGGAAAATCCCGATACAAAGTTTCTTGCAGGATTCTTTTTACAACTATAGTCGGTCTAAGTGCTCTTTAAGTGCTTTAAAGCTACTTTAGCTTGTTAGCTTTTACAACCTGCACTATAACATTTCGAAGTAAAATAACTTTTAAGAAGTGTAACTACGTAAGATAGTAGTTAACTTTTGAATTAAAAATGCAATGTTCGGTTTAATGTGAATGCGGCATTCTGTCGCGACTTTTTAATATATATATATATATATATATATATATATATATATATATATATATATATATATATATATATATACTATAGTATATATATATAGTATATATATATATATATATATATATATATATGTTATATAGTATATATATATATATAGAAGAAAATTAAAAGTTAGCATTTGAAAACGTTGTGCCTTCTTAATGAAAACTATTTGGAAAGAAAATGCTTAAGAAGAAGTAATACAAAGAAGAAAATTTAATATATTTTACTTCAAAGGCTAATATTTTGATATTTCGAAAATAGTATTATAATTTACTAACCACTCACTCTCGCTTCACTTTAGGTTCGTCCATAGACAAAAACAAATCTATCCCACGGGACCCGTTCATTTTCCGGGATAAAACGTAATCTATGTGTTATTCCAGACAACGATCTATCACTGTGCCATTATCTAGATCCGTTCAGCCGTTCTGGTGTGAAAGAGTAACAAACAAACATCCACCTATCCATCCTCACAAACCCTCACAATATACGGGATATGCGAGTATTTAATAAGACCAGTAATGTAACCGAACAAATCTTTTTAAAAATTCAGCTATATTTTTCTACTCTGTATCCATATTTTTTTGGATAGTTATTCTTAGTAAATTTTATAATTTTCTCTCTTATTCATTGAATAAGATTATTTCCGTACTTACAATTAACCGACTTCCCAAAAAAAGGAGGAGGTTCTCAATTCGTCGAAATCTTTTTTTTTCTTTTTTTTATGTATGTTCACCGATTACTCGAAGGCACACAGAAAGAGTATACTTCCCAGGTGGTCCCATATAATTTTTATCGAAATCGGTCGAGCGGTTTTTAAAAAAATCAACAATAAATATATTTTTTAAATAAATTGTTTAATCGAATATGTTATTAAAAAACTTTCTTCTTACAAATTACCTGCTTATTACGTCTACACTAAAAATGGAAAAATAAAAACTTAAAAAAAATAGAAACCGACTTCCACGCACTAAAATGTAAAAAAATAACTTAACGAAGGTTTTCATTTAGAATAGATACCTAATCAGATATTTTCGGAGTCGGTGCCAGCCGACAATATTTTAAGATATGAATATCTAATAGGTAAATATGTATTTTACGTATCGAAATATATTAGATTTGCTTTGTATCGGCTGGCACCGACTTCGAAAATATCTGATTAGGTATCTATTCTAAATGAAAACTTCCGTTTAGTTATTTTTTACATTTTAGTGCCTGGAAGTCGGTTTCTATATTTTTTTAAGTTTTTATATGATAGATCAGATTCTCGCCATTTTCATAATTGCCTTATTATTCATTTTGCTCAGGTCTAAGCGGAGATGAGTTTTTCTTCGACAGCAACGGCGATGGTCCGGCGAGATATAATATCTTGCATTTCAAGCAGGTTTCCAAAGGGGTGTACCACTGGGTCAACGTCGGCCAATACATAGACGGAGAACTACAACTCAATTTAGATGGTAAGTTATACTTATCATATAACATTATAAATTTGAAAGTCTATCAGTGAGTCTGTGAATGTCTTTTTTATCGTTCTTGATATCTACACAGATATTTAATTTTAAGACTAGCATTTGCCTAAGATTCTGCTCGATTTGCTTAGTGTATTTATCTTGTGCCCCGTTCCTAAGGGACTTAGCATGAGGCCTTCCTCCATAAATAGGTAATAAAATATAAATAGATTTTTTTCAAGTCGAATCGGTAGTTCTTTATATTGACATTTACAATACAAGATATTAAAATGTAATATATTCTGTATAGTCTATAAAAACCAATATTTTGGCTCCTGATATGAGCGGAAATAGCTTACGTATTACCTCAATTGAATATCAAAGAGGATTCAGTGACATCGAAAATATAGCTTCCTGAACTATATGACCCCGAGAGACATCGTGGGCATGAGTAAATTGGCTTATTGACACTATTTCCAACCGTCTGATTCCCATGTCGCGGATATCACTTCAGTGGAATAAACAAGTAGATTTTAAAAACTACCTATCGTCACCTACACATGGTTATCTATATTATCTACATTAATATTATTAAAAACAGGAATGTTTTGTATGTTTGTTAATAAACTCAAAAACTACTGGACTAATTTAGATGAAATTTAGTAAAAAGATAGTTTGAGATCCTAAGAAGGATATAGGATATTTTTTATTCCGGCAATGATCCCTTAAGGGCGTAAAAATGGGGGTGAAAGTTTGTATGGGGAATCAACCTAGGGACGAAGTCGAGCGAAGCGAGGAGAATTTAAATAGACACACAATAAATCACTTTTTTAAAATAATGTCATCATATCTATATATAAATAGGGTATACTCGTATATAAAGACAAAACAGTTCACTACCTCTTACTCCACTGTTTGTCAAACGATTTTTTAGTAGCTATGGACAAGCTTTAGAATAGTGTTGACTTTATTTTTATTTTAATGTTGGTAAAATTCATTTACGCATACCACCTGCATAAATGTAGGTGGGAATCACCGGCAAAGCCAGTACTACCCACGAAATGGAACGGAACCTTCCCGGTCTTAATGAGGTTTCGTAGGATCGCTTACGCATTCAACCACGACGCCCCGACGGCAGGTCTGCCGAAGCAGACCACTACAGCCATGGGTTTGCTCTGACGGTCCACTTTGCTGTCAGAGATTTACCAGGAGCACCCCGCATGGCATACCGTTCACCGAGGTAGTCCGCTTCCCAGTGAGTTTCTTGGCTTCGCGGCCAGCTAGGTTGCCGGACGCTAATGAGCCTCCCCACCACGACAGAGTGAATGCACATTGGAGGCGAAAAAATGTCGTTCACTGGACGAACACTAGTTATCATAACTATATGATTATTATTATTAATAATTTTAACAGATATCCAGTTCAAATGGGGGGAGCGTCGGCCGCCCGAGTCAGTCTGCAGCGCCGAATGCGAGCTGGGGCAAGCCAAGCAGTACGTCGAGGGCGAAAGCTGTTGCTGGCATTGCTTCAATTGTACCCAATATGAGGTAATTTTACTCATTAACTATATTTTTTTATTAACCGACCTAAAACTACCGACTGAAAAAGAGGAGTTCATAAAAAAATTCTCCCTTAAAGGTGGAAAAATTGCGAAAATTCCACCCAAAATTACTTTGAAGTTGGCGTACCTTTTTGTTAAAGAGAAATTATTCATATTCTTTATCGTATACAACAAAATAGCCCTTATACAGTACAAAATAAAAAAGGTAGTTTTATCGCTTATTAGCGATTTCTTTCTGACAAACGTACGGTTAGCAAATATTGAAGTTCAGAAATAGGAAATCGATATACGAGTATAAATAAGCAAGGGTAAATAAAACTGTTCGATACATTTTCCTCCTCTGTTTTTCAGCCATTTTTCTTTCCTTTTTTTTAGTGGTATCAACAAAATGGAAACAAACTTTTTTTACCGACTTTAAAAATAAGGAGGTTATCAATTCGACACATACTCGTATGTGTGTAATATTATTGGTTCTAAGCCTAACACTACGCTTTTTAATTTTTCACCTATTTCTCCTAAGGAAGTTAAGATGCATATAATGGCTATAAAATCTGATGCCATTGGTAGCGATGGAGTAAGTCGAAAGATGATTCTCTTAGCTCTCAATCATATACTTACAGTTCTCTGCCATATCTTTAATCATTCTCTCTCTTCAAGTACCTTTCCTAGCTGCTGGCGTTCAGCTTACGTTATTCCTATTCCTAAAATTTCCAATCCTTCATCGTTTTGTCACTATAGACCAATTTCTATACTTCCTTTTCTTTCTAAGGTGCTTGAACGTGTAGTTCACAGCCAACTGTCATTACATCTTTCAAAGCATAATTTGCTCAGTCCCTACCAATCTGGATTTCGACCTGGACATAGCACGACCACTGCTCTGATTAAAATCTGCGATGACATAAGGAATGGGATTGACAATCAGCAAGTTGGCATAACTGCTTTATTAGACTTCTCAAATGCTTTTAATACTGTAGACTTCGACATCCTCTTAGCAATCCTTGAGTCAATGAATATTTCATTGGGTGCTGTTGACTGGTTCCGTTCATATCTCTTTGATCGCAAGCAATGCATTCGTGTCGAGGACAAGCACTCATCTTTCTGTTACCTTAAAGCGGGTGTCCCTCAAGGCGGTGTCCTTTCTCCTCTCCTTTTTTCTATCTTCATCAACTCCATAACTGAGCTTCTCTCCTTACCTTTTCACCTTTATGCTGATGACCTGCAAATTTATGTAACAACACCCATAGATGGTCTTCACGATGCCATAGCTAACCTCAATACTAATCTCAATACTGTAAGTACATGGAGTAAATCGTTTGGGTTATTTCTAAACGCGAGTAAGTCGCAGGTATCCCTATTTGGTTCTCGTCAGCTAGTATCCAAAATTAATATGTCATCCCTTTCACCTATTTTATTCGACGGGACTAGACTGCAAATTCGCAGCTCGGTTAAAAATTTAGGCCTTATAATGGACAATTCCTTATCTTGGGTGCCTCAGATTTCGGAGGTAAGCAGAAAGTTTTTCGCTGTAATTGGTCGGTTGAGGAGGTGGAAGAAATTTTTGCCAATAAAAACTAAGGTATCCCTAGCACAATCCCTTCTCCTTCCTATACTTGATTATGCCGATACATGCTATCCCGACTTGTCGCAGATTCAACTCAATAAACTGGAACGTTTGCAAAATATGGCAATCCGATTTATCTATGGCTTAAGAAAATTTGACCACATTTCTCAATATCGAGCTCAACTTAAATGGCTCACCGTTAAGCAGCGACGGAACTTGCATATCCTTACTCTCCTATACACTATCCTCTTTCACTCCCACACTCCTCCTTATCTTAAAACAAGGTTCAATTTCCTTGGTTCTATCCATTCCCTAAACCTTCGCTCGCAAACCGACAACAAATTAGCATTGCCCGTCAGTCGCACCCAAAGCTATGGCGACTCGTATACAGTAAAAGCTGCAATATTATGGAATGCCTTACCACAGGACATTCGCCAGTCGGAATCGGTGCAAGTATTCAAACGTCGTCTTAAACACTACTATTTGTCGCTATAAGTCTATGTATATTTATGTAAGCCCTGTTTATGTAAGTTTATTGTAGAATATATATGTTTATTGTTTATACTTATATATTATAATATATATTTATGTATGTCCTTATCGATATTTATGTAAGCTTGTGTGTACTTTATAGTATGTACCGTTTAAGTAAGTTTATTATAGACTAGCTCTTTCTTTTTTTTTTTGCACCAACCATAATCCATGTCACCCTATGAGTTTCTTTATAATATAGGTTGCCTGGAAGAGATCACTTTAGTGATAAGGCCGCCTTTACACTAATATTAGTTAAGTTATATATTCTTGTATATTGTATTTTTATTTTTGGTGTAATAAAGGATTAATAAATTAATAAATAAAAATTATTGGAACTGAAAAATATTCACATGCAATAATCTGTTGGGGTTTCAAAGTTTCAAACTAATAAACAAATTTTTTTAGATGTATGTATATTTGTATGTATGTATGTTTGTCAACGGATTTCTCCGAAACTAGTGATCGAATCATGATAATTTTTTTTTCATTTGCTTATATTTATTTCATCTTAGAGAATAATAAAGATTTCATCTAAATTGGTTTAGTAGTTTTTATGATATGTACACAGTTTAGTTTTAACTTAAAAGTAAAAATTACGAAATAATTTATAGGATAGGTTAATTCTATTTATATATATACATACGTCATTATTTATGTTCCTTTAATTAGATAATGATAATTATAGTCAGATTTCGACAACTGGACGAACATAAGTAAATATTTATATGTGAATACGTGTTTTTACTGTTTGTTATTTTTTCACTTTGCAACTGTTTTATAGATTTGACTAAATTCGGAAGCTTAAAGCTCAAATTAACAATTAGCTAAAATTAATATCTAATCTATACATCTATACAGATAAATAAAATTGAAGTGTCTGTTTGAAATGTCAAAATAACAGCTTTTTACTAAATGCATATGGATGTATACACGATACATATACCAAACAACATTTTTTACAATTTTTGTCTGTCTGTGTGTTTGTTCCGGCTAATCTCTGAAATGGCTGGATCGATTTTGACGGGCAGATAGCTGATGTAATAAGGAGTAACTTAGGCTACTTTTATTTTAGAAAAAAAAATAGAAAAAATTAATAATATCCGATTCAAATAAGGAAGTTGTATACATAGCCTAGGGACGATCCCGAGCGAAGCGAGGGTGAATCGCTAGTTTCAGGATGAAACCTCTAGAACAAACATTATAATATTTTAAAATTACAAAAAATCACGAAATCTTACTAATCGGCTTTGGCTCGTAGAATAAATGATTGGGAAGTAGAAGAAAAGTCCTATAATATAAATATCAAAGTAGTTGAACATATAAACGCGCAAAGAAAATATTGTTTTTTTTATTTAAAATAAGAATAAATGTATTTATTTTTTTAAACTAACATGAGCCGAGAATCGAACTTAATTAAAACTAATTCCTTTGGGTACCGCATTTGTTCCACTCTGTATACCATTTTGCTCAGTAAAAAGTGTTGGAATAGACAAATATACACGTATAGTATAAAAAAAATCGTTGTTTTCAGTATTTAGTTTTGAGAGATACGTATAATAAACATTATGAAGTATACAATATACATTATCTATACATATAATAAAGTTGTAACTAAGCCGAATCTGTACATTAAATATTTTTTGGAAAATCTTATTGAAATAAACATTATTATCGATACAGAGGTCGAATCTATAGTTTTTAGAATTTTTGTCTGTCTGTCTGTCACTGCATCACAGAAAAACCACTGGAGGGATTTTGAGGAATTTGGTATGATGGTAGCTGGATATCCGGGTCAACATATAGGATACTTTTTACTGCAGGAAAATATCTCATTTCTGAGAAAACATACAAAAACTGCATTGTAAGAGTATATTCGTACTAATATGTAAAACTTAAGAATTTGGTTTTTGTTCATCTGAACGCGTGCGACGTACTAGATACACAATCCCATGTAAAAGTTCTCTTAAATGTCACGAATTGTGTTTAGGTAATTATTCTAGTTGAAAATATTTACAACAATGTAAATTGAACCTTAAATGCAATGTTTAAAGTTGTTTTCACACAAAAAATTTAAAAGTGCGCTCAAATATTCAAATGAGCGGTCCTTCGGTCAGGACATTTTTGGTCACTGAGTGTATCTATTACTTTTTTTACCAATGTAACATAAGTCTAAAATGCGAAGCATTAAATAAACAAGCCAAAACTAAGTAAGTTTACCAAATTTAATGAACATTCAAGCATTTCCTTAAATAGTAAAAATATTCACTACAATATAAGATCAGATATCTATTTACAGATATTAAAAAAAACATTAAACTGAGGTGTGTGGTGTGAGATAAACATACCCTTAATTCGCTTACATTACCATGAACTTAAGGGTTGATTTCATTGGGGAGATGGTTTACGAATTATTATTAAACGATGCAGATTATTTGATCATCTAACCCTGTGAGAGCGTTTCCTGATATTAACTTAATTCAACGGGTGGTTTAACGCTAATGCTGGTACTATTTTCATTAAAATACTTATATTAACTAACTTTCAATCCTGGCTTCAAAACTTACGAGATGAGTACAAATGATTAATTTTATGAGTATTACAATACATACCATTAAATACGTATGTCTGCTTTATATCACAGCGAATGTTAGGAGTTAGGATATGTATTTCTATATACACATTCGATTCGACAAACGTTTAATTTAGCTTGGAAAAGCCCTTTTGAAATTTAGTCATACTTAATTAATATTAAGCGATTATAATAAAACTATATTTACAGATTTCAATTTGGTTTTTGGATTCTCGACTTTTCGTATGCTTTACAGCAAAATATATTTACAGGAGAGACTAAGGTTTGACGTCACAGTCCACTATGCAATAATTATAAAAAAAGAATGAAATAGGAAAGAGAGAAAGGCAGAAATAGAAAGGAAATCATTAACCAACGGATTATGCTCCACGAAATTGAGACAAACAAACATACAGATTTTCGCATATTATCGTTACACAATGGAGGCACATCGAGTGATCTCTTTATAATATTAGTATAAATTCACTTAACACTATGATTATAAATGTAATTCATGATTACTACTAAGATATAATGTGATTTTTAAAACAAGATTCGTTGAGTATTTTCCACATTTTCTCTCCACACTATATACGTTTTATTATAATATATTTTCAAATTGACGATACCTACAGTAAATAAATAAATATAATGGAGCATTAACACATAGAACCATCTAGTTCCATGGTAAGCTACGAGGCTCGTGTTATTGATACCAGATAGTTGATACACTACACATATATAACTTTAAATACATACATATTATAAATATAAACACCATTACTGGAGTACAAAGATTCGTGCTAATCACACAAATGAATGCCCTTAGCGGAACTCGAACCGGCGACCGCTGGCACAGCAAGTAGGGTCACTACAAACAGCCAAACGTGTCGTCAAAACAGGCTTTAATATTCATCCAATACAGTACGTAACAAATTCTGATAAATAATTTATCAGTTAATGTTACAAATTAGAGACACGAGACTCTACCTGCCAAAACAAACCGCCATCCCTTATTATTATTCATTAAATTATATAGACAATTACGACCCCATTGTTTAAAGAGATCTTCATAGGCTTAAGAGGCTCATCTTAAGTTAATATCTTGGTATTGGCAGCGACTCCACTAAGCACTTGGAATTACGTATATTCATTAGCGATATTTGAGGCACATATAAATTATAATTAGCCGTTAAGATTTTTCAAACAATTCAATTAAATACCAAAGTGGCAACTTTAACTGAGCTGCAGTTAAAGTTTGCTTGATAGTGGTTTCAAATAGGGGTTTATATAAAATATTAGTAAAGCAACCCTAAATTTTAGTATAGCAGACTATTTTCCCTTAAGAACCATTTCGTCAAGATAAAATTGAGCTCTCCAGCTCATAATTTATACTAAAAAGATACCGACGAATCGAGAACCACCTCCTTTTTGGAAGTCGGTTAAAAATCATATAGAATTATTGCTCAACTACAGTATAAAAGGACATATCATTCATAATATTTGTATTGATTATGTATATTAGGTACGTTTTTATTTTTTTGAGTGGAACCCTATTTCTTTTACTAAAGTAAAAGTAACCTAAGTTACTCCTTATAACATCAGATAGCTGCCAGTGAAAGTCGCGTCAAAATCAGTACAGCCGTTTCGGAGATTAGCCGGCACTAGCATACAGACAGACAGACACAAAAATATTAAAAATTGTGTTTTTCTTATAAGTACCATATGATTAATTTCATAATATGCATTTAGTAAAAAGCTGTTATTTTGACATTACAAACATACACTTTTTTATGTGTATAGATAAGGTAATACATATTCTTTAAATTTTGAACCTGTTTGTATTAACTTCAGTTACAACTAGTTTAACTTTGTAAGTACGTGACATGCGGATAAAAATAATTTAATACCATGGGACTGTGCGTGCTTAAACTTTTCAATAGCTGCTAAAAAAAATTTTTAGGAGTCACTTTTTTTCGTTTTATAGCTCCTAAATAGTATAGTTACTCAAATTTTATGTACTTCAAACAAATCATAGGTATTAAAAAAAACTATCTTTCGGATTTTACCGCAGATTTATTCTGATTTGGGTTCCCGATGTTTCCCAGAAGCTATTTAACTAATATACCTATAATAATTTTTGAGACGTCTAATACCTTAGTCTTCACCGTGGCCATAATTGCTGTAAAGGTTTCGAAATCGTTGAAATTTATTTAAAACTAGTTAGTATTTAAAACTCGCTTTGCTCGGGTTCGTCACTAGGTACGTTTTAAATATATATAAATAGTTATTACCCAGCGTTAGCCATATAAATTTTAATATGGTTGTTAAGTATTCTTAAATAAGTATTCTTAAATTTTGTAATTTTCCGCGCAATTTTTCTTTTTTTTTCTTTTATAAGAACCTTCTCCTGACAATAACAGACACAACAAAAAAAATAGTTAAATCGGTCCAGCTGTTCACGCGTGATAGCGTGACCAAGATATATATATATATATATATATATATATATATATATATATATATATATATATATATATATATATAGATAGATAGATATCAAATTCGCGTAAATCTAAGAAAATGCTATATAATTATTTTATGTCTATACAGATTCGTTCGCCAGAATCGGAAACAACGTGTATAGTGTGTCCGCGAGGCACTCTCCCGAACCCAACCAGGACAGAGTGCACGTCCATACCAGAGGCCTACTTGAGGCCTGACTCTGCTTGGGCGATTGGTGCGATGTCGTTTTCATCAGTCGGGATTTTGTTGACTGCGTAAGTATTATTTAATGTTAAGTCAAATATTATTTTTAGAGACGATTAGACGATTTTGCGTAAGAAACTCATGATGATTATATATTGATACTTTTCAACGAACTTCGAAATGTAGGAGTTTCCAATTCGGCTGTCGGCTGAAGTCGGTGCCGGGCGATACAAATCAAAGCACATAGACTTCAAAAATATCTGATTAGGTATCTACTCGTATAGTAAATGAAAACTACTAATCAGTTTTTTTTTTGCTTTTTAGTGTTTTTCTTTTTTTGAAGTCGGGATTTTCGTATTTAATACCTCCACGACCGCGGACACGCCCGCGCCGGCGTGTCACTTAACAATAGATTTCTTAGAATTTTAATTAAATAAAAGCTTGTGAAAATAACACATATACTAAGGAAATCTAAAAAAATATTTCCAGGAACAGTTACAAAAAATATTTTTCGTCATAACTCTATTTTATAACGTGGTAATAAATCCTTATAAAATAAAAACAAAAGAGCGCGATACAGGGAAAATTAATGCATACAAAATAAGTTTATACTCGGCGCTCAAGCTTGGCTTATCAAGTACATAATAGATTTTATTTCATATCGGGTCACTTCGTTGGTGGTGCTTAAAACATTTTGTGTCACAAAGCATGTAGTCCGAGAGCCAATTATAAAATTCGTTAAATATACATAAACTAGCGCCTTACTCTCGCTCCGCTCGGTTCATCCCTAGTTACGTTTTAACGCTTAGTATAGATTTCTCAAAGATGAGATATTTTCTCGCATTAAAAAGTATTCTATACGTTGACCCGAATAACCAGCTATTATCACACCAAATTTCATCAAAATCTGTCCAGTAGTTCCCCCGTGATGAGTTCCCAGACAGGCAGACAAAAATTCTGAAAACTATAGATTCGGTCTCTGTATCGATAATAATAACTATTTCCATGAGATTTCCCAAAAAATATTCAATGTACAGATTCGATTCAGTTAGAATTTTATTATATGTATAGATACAGATATTTTACAAAACAATAGGTTGCATTCGTTTTGCTTTCTACTCTAAATGATACAGTCAAAGAGAATCACATCAGACTGTGTTGTCTTGAAATGGCATCACAATAATACATTTTATATCATCACTACAAATAAATGTAATGTATATTGCAATCAAACAAGTTATTTAGTAGTTTATTTAGTTGCCTAGATAAAGAACAAATGAAATCTTTGCAAACACACAATAATCTTTTCAATGAAAATGGCGGCTGTTTTTCAAATTGATAAATTTACATTGTGGTAATATGTATGTATGTATGTATTCAGCCCTTTTTATCGTCCCACTGCTGGGCACGGGCCTCCCTTCAATACGAGGGGGATCAGGCCATAGTCCACCACGCTGGCCAAGTGCGGGTTGGCGGACTTCACATGTCTTTCGAAAACTTGCTAGGTTCTCTCTGACTTGCAGGTTTCCTCACGATGTTTCTCCTTCACCGTAAGGCAAGCGGTGATCATGTTAGAAATGATTCGCACATGAAAATATCAGAGGTGTGAGACCCGGGATTTGACCCCGCTTCACTCGGTTTCCCAAGCAAGCGCGTTACCACTGGGCTACCACTGCCTTTTTAATATTTTATGTGGTAATATAAACCTATATAATTAATATATACCTCAATCAGTAATCAAACCTGCAACAACATAAAAGTTAAACTAAAAACTGAAAATACTTGTTTTAATATCAAGTTATTTCACAAATATACTCTTTATTACAATAGAAGTAAGGGTTTGTTCAATTTAAGAAATAATTTTACTGCATTGTAAGAATGCAACAGTATTACATTGTTAGCTTCTACTTAAAAGTTGGCAGCATATCATGTCGTATCAAGTACACAAGGGGCCTTTAGTACTGGAATAACAGATTTATTTTATGAATAATATTACTTCAGAGCTGTAGTCTAAGAAGCAACTGTAATTAATGTTTTATTTTTACGAAATATATATATATATATATATATATATATATATATATATATATATATATGCGTATTATTTTATTATTATTAATATTATAAATGTGAATGTTTGTGAGTATGGATGTTTGTTACTCTTTCACGCCAGAACGGCTGAACGGTCTGAATGAAATTTAGAGATCTGGTTTTTTGTTTAACAGCACAATTCGGTTTGATTAATAAATTATTCGTATAGCTTTTCTTTATACAAAGCAGAATTCAATCTCATGGAATGTAGGTAAAAAAACGTAAGCGACACTGTGTCAGGAACGTCTAGAATTTATGGTCGCCATAATTTCCGTTACTTAACTGGCAACCGAGGATCGAAATTTTCGGTTGACTCTGCCTATAACGGTTTTTTATACAAGAAAATCTAGATAAAAATGAATCTGTATTAAACCTATCTATTGAATGCGTATACTTAACCTACATTTCTGCTTACTTTTGACCAACTTGAAAAAAGAAAGAGATGTTCCATTCCTTCGTTGTCAGGTTGGATGTCATCCACATATCCTGGATATATAATATATATTTCTGCCTCGTACGTGCAAATTGTAGGACGATCTTCCTTCTGAGGTCTTGATAAAGTTTTGATATGACTCCTGAGCGCTATAACATGGGGTCCCTTAAGAGTCGTGTCTTCAGGTCCCATATAGGCAACGCATTCACAATTCCTCTTATGTTGCAGATGTCTATGAGCGACGATAGATACTTACCATCAGGTGGATCGTTTGCTGGTTTATCCCTTTTACTATAAAAAAAATGTCCTGCAGTATATGTAATTATAGGCAACCGTAGGATTAAAATAATCGATACTAATATTATAAAGAGGCAGACTTTGTTTGTGTGTTTGTTTGAACGCGCTAATCTCAGGACTTACTAATCTGATTTGAAAAATTCTTTTTGCATCAGATAGCCCGTTTATTAAAACTATAGGCATTATCATCATAGTAGCTAGCTAGTACCCAAGAGAGCGGAACAGTAATATTATATATAGTGTATCTATTCCATGCTAACCGTTAAAACGTACCCAGGGACGAACCAGAATGAAAACCGGTGAACGGCTAGTAAAATATATATAGGAGTAATATATATATATATATATATATATATATATATATATATATATATATATATATAATATTAATGTAGTTTAATATTCTCTTATTTGTTTGTAAGGTGACAATTTCAGGAACTGCTCTAAACAGCTAAATTAAATTACTTCGCATGGTCCATAGGGAGCAATGATGTGAAGGGTACGCCCTTTGATCGAAATCCCTTATATTGGCTTATTGTTCTATTGATCCTATCGCATATGCATATCTCATATGAATGACCTACTAACGATCGTCTTTGTCTTCATACTTCAGCGGTTAATGGGTGAAAGGTCGACCAACGACGGTTAGGACACTTCATAGGTCGCAGCCTTTGTGAAGTATTTAATTGTATCAACCCTTTATAGAATATACGTAATAGCTCTACTTCTTCGAGTAAAGATATTAGAAAGGTATATCGGGAGAGACTTCTTTTGTTTCAAAATATTTTATCGTCACATTTCTTTTAAAGATTCTTGGAGAAACATATATTTTGCTCAGTAACGCACACAGTTTAAAAATATAAATAGCTAGCGCTTTGTCTAAAAATTTATGCGCTACTCCAGGTTATAATCTATCTTTATGCTAAATTTCATCCAAATCTGACCAGCCGTTTCTTCAGCAAGAACGAGTAAATACACACAAACAACACACACACATCAACTCTCACACTGATAGCTGTAGTCCTATGTTTTATTCTTCCTTATTATTATTTTAACTAAAACAAATACAAATTCAATTCAATTACATACTATTATATACCAATAAAAGATACGTACATTTAGGTACATTTATAAGATATTTTGCAAACCATCGCTAAAGTAATAACAATCGATAATAATATATTTTTACTTATTTCTAGATTCGTCTGCGGAGTGTGGGTGCGCCATAGCTCGACTCCGGTCGTGCGTGCGAGTGGGAGAGAGCTATCTTATGTCCTTCTCGCCGGGATACTTATGTGCTACTTAGTTACTTTCGCGCTGGTATTCCGACCGACTGACATTTTATGCTCAATTCAAAGGTAAGATACTTTTACGTATAGAGAAAAATAATGGGGCCTTAGTTTTATTCAATAGGGTATTTAATGCTTATGGCATTATTTTAAAGTAACATTTATTTATATTTTGCCACAATTTAGACTTCAGTGAGAATAAATTATAGTAAGTTAAATTACTTACAAATTCTCATTCATTCTGTTTTTTTTTCGCGATGATACTAAAATACTGTACTTAGAAATTGTAATTAAATTAATAAATGAGATATTTGTTTATTAAAAAAAATAACTTTTAAGTTAACACAATTTTTTATGCTTAAGTTCTAAGTTAGCGTAGAAGAGTAGTGTTTTAAACTAATTTACTAAATTTAATTTTGTACCTTCGAGTCAAGTAACGGACATCTGCCATGAAAGAATCCAGCCATTAATTTTATTTGTTCCCACCGTCCTAGTTTTTATTTCGAACTCTGAAGTGAAAATTTATAAATTGCTTTTTTTAGCTAATAAATAAAACATTCTTTATGCCAGTTCTTTTCTATTAAATTTAATTACTTTGATCAAGAACGAAACTTTAGATGTACAATTTATATTACTACTAGCGACTCACCCTCGCTTCACTCGGGTTCGTCCCTAGTGAAAAACCACAACAAATCTATCCCACGGGAACCGCACATTTTTCCGGGATAAAATGTAGCCTGTGTACTATTCCAGACGTATAATCTATCTCTGTGCCAAACTTCATCCAGATTCGTTGAGCTATTCTGGCGTGAAAGAGTAACAAACATCCATACATCCATCCTTACAAACTGTCACATTTATAATATTAGTATAGATATAATTAATGGGATTTAACTTTCAATATTTTGGACATCCATCTAATTTCAAATGTGACAAGATTTGAACTAAATTATTCTTAAAATAACTTTACCAGCTGGCATCCTTTGAAGCCATTATAAAGAAATTGAATTGAAAATAATTTTATAATTAAACTAGCGACTACGGTACGGCGATACGGTTTTAACGTTTATTTTGATTTCTCAGAGATGAAATATTTTCCCGCAATAAAAAGTATCCTCTATGTTGACCCGGATAACCAGCTAGCATCATACCAAATTTGGTAGCATCTGCATTTATTTGTTACCGCATCACGGAAAAACCACTGGAGGGATTTTGATGAAATTTGGTATGATGATAGAGCTGGTTATCCGGGTCAACATATAGGATACTTTTTACTGCGGAAAAATATCTTATCTCTGAGAAATCTATACTATACCTTAAAACTTAACTAGGGACGAACTCGAGCGAAGGGAGGGTGATTTGCTAGTTTAATTATAATACTTATTAAAAAAATATTTAAAATTAAAAAACAACAAGTATTGTAAGGTACTTTGGTGCCATTTTCGAATTTTTGAAATCATTTTCTAAAATTGTGGGTAGGCACTGTCTGTAACAAAATAAATCCGCGAAATAATCCGAAAAGATAGTTTTATTTAGTCTAAAAGATTTAATCACTATCCTCAACATTTCCTCTAGATTTGGTACCGGCTTCTGCTTCACGGTGGTGTACGCGGCGCTACTCACTAAAACAAACAGGATTTCTCGGATTTTCAACGCGAGCAAACATTCTGCCAAGAGACCTATACTCATCTCCCCGAGCTCTCAACTCGCGATATGTACTGCACTTGTATCTATTCAGGTAAGCGAACGCTTTAACCGAACTCTTTGTATGTATATGTATGTTTGTTTGTATTTACGCAATTTTCTCAGCAACTTTGGGCTTTATATTAATAATATATTCCATATATTTTAAGAAATTCTTAAGCTTATTATATTATCATGACCATATCATTCTTATGTGTAAAGTTTTGTAAATAACTTGTCGGCCTCGTGGTATTACAAGTTCAGTTCCAGGGTGAGGTCAAAATAGCTATTGAGTTACCGTTAAGTAACTCCAGTAGCAAAATCGTGATGGGAAGATAGCGGTATTTACACGTATATGCCTCGGAGAGCACGTAAAGCTATCGACCCGCGTTTGATCTCTCTGGTTATGTCAAGTTGTCGTCCCACCGGAACGTGACTGTTAAAGGAATAGAGAGTGCACTTGTGTCTTAGCTACGTATAGTAATATGTATCTTTGACGACACTCTTGGCTCAGTCTGTAGTGACCTTACTTGCTTTGCCAGCCGTCGCAGGTCCGAGTCTCGCTGAGGGCGTTCATTTGTGTGATGAGCACGAATAAACATTCGTACTCCAGTCATGTTTGTTTATATTTATAATATGTATTTATTTAAAGCTATATTTGTGTAGTGTATCAACTATCTGGTATCCATAACACAAGCCTCGTAGCTTACCATGGAACTAGAGGGTGCTGTGTATTAATATCCCAACATATTTATTATTTATCTCTAACGCACCTCGTTCTCAGTGAGATTTGTTTGACGGAAAACTACTTTGAAGGATTTCATTTATTCTAAGTGCTTATTTAAACAATGCTTGGATACCTCACCACGTACCTTTTTTTTATGGGACTAAGGGGGCAAACGGACAGGAGGCTCACCTGATGGAGAGTAATCACCGCCGCTCATGGACATCTGCAACACCGCAGGGCTTGCAGATGCGTTGCCGGCCTTAAACCTAAACCTAACCTAAAACCTTCTTCATTTTTCAAGAAATTCAATAAGTCACCTTTCTAAACACCATCATCAGATACTAATGTAATACTAATTACTGAATATTTTGGAAATGGCCAATATCTTTTAACCTGCAAAAGATATTGGGTAATTTAAATAAAGTAATTTTATATATTTTAGTGTGGCGACCCGAGCTCCGATCGGCGTAGGCGCTCGTTCAGTAGATTATCATCCATTAGCTATAAGCAAGTACCACAAAAATTTACGAGATGGGGCTATATGATATTGTCAGCGTGAGAGTACATAGAAAATAATAGAAAAAGGCTCTAATATTGTTTGTTTTTTTGGGAAAATTGCGTTCTTTCAGAAAATAAACTATATTATATGTATATATTAGGGTAGTCTGTATTCCTAACAAAAAAATCTTTAGTTTCACGGGGCACCACATAATTCGATTATATACCATAAGAAACTATTACAGTATTATTTTTTTGAATTTTTAAATGACACTTAAAGGTTGCTACTAAGGTTTGAATTTTAAATAAAAACTGAACATCTCTACTTTTTTTGGATTCTTTTATTCATAAGTTAGGACATAATAAAATTTCTCTTAAACCTTTTTAATAATTGTACCACCACTCACACACTCACACTGTTGTGACCACTCGACAAGCAAGCCAAAGCATATCTTTCTCACACAGGAGAGGGGTCCAGGAGAGAGGAGGCGGGGTGAGGTCACCTATGAGAGTCTGTCCATGTTTCACTTGCAGATCAAATGCTTAATAAACATTTAAATGAATAATTAGTGAGTGACCTTTAAATCGTATCTAAAAATTTAAAAAAATCTGTTTCATTTGTAGATGTATACTAGCATTGCCCGCGGTTCCGCCCGCGTTCAGATGACCAAAACCAAATTCTTAGGTTTTACATATAAGTATACTCTTACAATGCAGTTTTTGTATTTTTTCTCAGAAATGAGATATTTTCCCGCGGTAAAAATTATCCTATATGTTGACCCAGATAACCAGCTATCATCATACCAAATTACATCAAAATCCCTCCAGTGGTTTTTATGTGAAGCGGTAACAGACAGACAAAAATTCTAAAAACTATAGATTCGGCCTCTGTATCGATAATAATGTTTATTTCAATAAGATTTTCCAAAAAATGTTTAATGTACAGAATCGGCTTAGTTACAATTTTATTATATGTATAGATAATCAAATGACAAAGTGCCGCGATGATAATTACGAAGTCTAAAAATAAGATTATATATATACATAATTTTAATTATACAAGAATTGTTCATTTAGGTAAATGAAATAAAATATTATAAAAAAAATATATTGAAGAAGGTTATCAAATATATTTAAAAAAAATTAATAAAACCTTTTTAAATAAATAATTATCACGAATTATATCCTTCAAAAGGAAGGTTTGAATCAAATTATTATTCTAAATTAAAACAAGATAAAATATGAATGAACAACGTAATTTTAGTACTTAGAATTCAATATTTAGATAAAAGGCCGTGAAACAAATTATTCGTATTGCCTTATTTCTATCTAAAGTTTAGATGAAGATAGTCTAAAACATAAACACTTAATTTGTTGATTGATGCCGTCCGTCCATCCGAAATTCTCACCAAATTATTTAGAATTCATCTCTTTTAATTGAAACAACACTTTGTCTTAATTGAAACGCGGCGAAATTGCTATATACTATTGTATTGATGTTAAAATTTTGTGCTTCATTGTTTTTAATTATTATTTTAATTGACCTAGCGATCAAAGCGAGCAAAGCGCCTCTGCTTCAAGTCTGGCAAAATTTGCTTTCCTCTGTCAGTTTGTTGGTACTCCTCTTCATGTCGTATTTTACAACCGATCTGGACGAAACTTGGAATACAGGTTTTACTATTTTATAGATTTTTTGTTGTTGGACTTTCTTAAAAAAAGGGGCAAAAAAGGGCTACTACGCTTTTAGTTGGTTTCATGAATGTTTGGTGAAGATCTGATGAAGATCTTCGACATGATGAGCAGAATAGCTCTTTAAAAGGCGCTTTGTGCTCGCAAGGTCCACTGTTCGCGGAACTACTAGGTTATTTAAAGAGTTATTATTTTAAATTAGTAAGTAGTTAGTTAGAGTAATTATTTATATCTACTGACTTGGCCTTGCTTTGCTCGAGTAGGTACGCCGCTAGGTGCCTTGTATGAAGTCATACAAAAATTAACTGAACTTAATTTAAGCACGTTCTAAAAGTACTTATATATATATATATATATATATATATATATATATATATATATATATATAATTCGCGTCTAATTGTTCAGATCGTAGTTGCTGATATTTCTAGATATTAGCGCATTCAAACAAACAAATAAACATACACAAAAGGAAACTTTTCAGCTTTATATTATGTTAGTATAGATTATTCATAGCAACTCAGAAAATCGACATGAATGCTAATTTGCCTGCTCACTCATGTTTTAGAATTTCATTACGAATGAGAAGTTTGCTCGTTAAATAACTTGTATCATTTTAAATGTGCTACCATTATAATGTAAATTAAACCGTTCAATTAAAGTATTGTATATTGTATGCAATATTTCGACGTAAGGCGGGTTTTATCAAAATTCTAAACATATCTTCAAGCGCCACAACTTCCTTATTACAAAGTTTTTTATAAGTTAAATGGGTAGGTTGAGTGCCTGACTGGAAATTTTATGTCCTCAGAATATTCTTAACATCATGTCTTCTAATGGCACAACTTTATACAACCGATACATTTTAATTTGAAAATAACTAAACATATTTATATTTTTCGTAGCAAACGACGATTCGTAGCATCTCTATGTAGTAGGTGACGGAATCGAATCCCAGGCCTTTCAATTATTTATCGCGATAGAGGTATTTTATGACCTAATCCCTTTCATATTGAGGGATGGCCAGTGCCCAATAGTGGGACCTTAAAAGGCTAAATAAATATGTTATTATTGGATGGTTTATCGCGTAATCTGTGTTATTAATCTATAAAAAATACTTAGATCAATATGTTGGACAAAAACATAGAAATGTCCTTACCGAATAAGCGCTCATTTGAACATTTAGACACACACAGACGACACGTTTGGCTCAGTTTGTAGTGACCCAACTTGCTGCGCCAGCGGTCGCCGGTTCAAGTCCCGCTGGGGGCCTTCATTTGTGTGATGAGCACGAATGTTTGTACTCCAGTCATGGGTGTTTATATTTATAATACGTATGTATTTAAAGTTATATATATGTAGTGTACCAACTATCTGGTATCCATAACACAAGCCTCGTAGCTTACCATGGAACTAGATGGTGCTGTGTGTTAATGTCCTGACATATTTATTATTATTATTCAAGGTTCATTTTACATTGTTGTATATTTATTTCAACTAGAATAATTACCTAAGCACAATTAGTGAAAGTTTAAGAGAATTTTTGAATGGAATTGTGTATCTAGTAGCTACTTTTTTGATCGATGGGGAGAATAGAACCTTTTGGCATTGCTAAATTTTTATTTTTTCTAAACTCGTAGTGTACAATGAAGCTACTATTTGCAGATACATAATATGAATGTAAAAACAAAATGTTCGAATGAAAATGTATTTGTAGAGAGATTTGTGTGTTAAATGTGTTCTGTAAATAGCAGCAGTTAAAGCCAGCTTTCATCAATGCTCTCTATTCTGTGGCTTATAGTCGTGCCAAGCTTTCATAGAAAGATGCTTGATAACTTTTGACAGGTGTTATCTAATAACTTAGATAACGTAAATTCTGAGCAAAGGAAAGACCTTTTTTGGATTCAACTCTTAAAAATTCAAACGTTTTTCATAGTTTGGATGATACTTAGACATGTTAAATTAATAAAAAATCCACAACTAACTGCTGCTTTTTACTATGAATAATTCCTCGAACTAGGTTAGAAGTTATTATATTATTATAAAACAATGTAGAAGCAACTTTCGACATACATTATAATAATAATAGTTTTATAAAATTTGAACTCATTATAACTTTCAAAGTTTGTTCAAACTATAAA